CTTAATATGCACTTTACCTCAAATAAGCTCTTAAGAGCCAAATTGATACTGGCATGAAGAATCAATGGAACCCGGGTCGGATATATCAACACACGAACTTGGTTAATCTAAATCTTCCATTTCACCCAATTTCATAACAAAAAATAGGAATTTTCTACAAAACCTATTTGTTATTTGTCATCAATATTATTTACTAAACAATTACAGATTTAGGAAACCAAAATGACCATAATCGAGTTCCACACAATTGATCAGAAAGCATGAAATTCAATTTTATAAGCTATTAAGTTCAGAAATTGGTTGAATAATCAAAGTGAGATGGAAGTACATCATCTCAAACAACTAGTAAAAATAGAACTTGCAAATACTAAGCAATCCAAAGTCGAATTTGTAACGAAATTAGCCACACATGGCTAATTGAAAACACAAAACTAAGAAATTGATAAGAGATATTAACCTAGTTTTGAAATTGATGAATCTCCTTCAATGCCTCTCCAATCGATCCTTCTCTCTGCCTCATCTCTTCTTCCCCCCTCGACTTCTCGCCATCCCCCCAAGAAAACTCGGTTGAAACATGAACGTGGGTTGCCTCTCTCACGCATGTCACTAGGGTGTGAGATGAAAGGGTATCTTTTTTTTTTTGCCAATAAACCCCCTCCCAAGTAAGAAAACCTCCCCTTTTCTTCAAAATCCCGTGATAGCTCTTTTTTTAAGCTACATTTGAGTAAATATGCTTCATTTACACGTTATTTGAATTTGTATGCCTAGTCTAGACGCCATTTCATAAGTATGCTCAACCTCATATTCCTTCAGAAAACTATGCCCGACCTTGTAATAGTTTCAAATTTTATGCTCTAGTTGTATAAAAATCCATCCTTTTGGCACCTATCAAAGACCAATCAGTAACTAAATTAAAGGAGTTCTATAAGCTATATAAACATTACAATATGTACTAGATTCATTATAAAAACATGTTTAAATATAAACTTATCAGCTATAACATGCAAGAGTGATTTTTAGTTGCTTATCCTAAAGGCACAAAAGCAATGCAAGTTCAAAAAACCACAAATAAAACACTAATCTAACCATCTTCAGGTCATAATTTAAAGCAATGTAAGACTCTTCCCCCCCCCCCCCGGACAGCAAAAACGTTCAAACATGTTAATCACCTAATCATATTAATTCTTACAAGGTGATTGATCAGATACAATCCCAGACTAAGTTAACAAAAAGGTCTCTTTACCTTTCTTGCCAAATACTCTGATTTACTAATCCTATTAAAACTTGTTGCAGAAGTATTCACATTGTCAATTTTTTGGTATCCAAGAAAATTATCTAGAGTCTATTATCTTGAAAGATTAAAGACCAAACATATATAAACCTGTAATAGATAAATTTTAGTTTAATATGATATAAGCATGATACAGATTGACGCCATACTTTGTAAAAAGAAAAAATAAATGAATTAAAAGCTAATATTGGTAAGCGACAAATACATGATAGTGATGAGSAGAAAAATATAGACAACATAATTTTTGCTTATCTGTCAACACAATTGTTGTTGTCGATTCCTTTATATTGCTTCTTTCTAAGCCATAAATGCTCATTTTTTGACTAATACAAAAGCCACTCATTACAGTATCATCACATTCAAATTCATAAACAACTTCAGTATCACACATTCARAYTCGYAAAGTACGTTCAAGTTCGTAAACCAAATGGAGGGGATGCTTCATAAGGGTGTAGAAATACACTYTGAGCGCCTATTTAGAACCTTATTTTGCTTAGTTTTATAATTCCTAGAACACATATTGAGTCTTTTATTCATATTTTACATCTTATTAAGGTCTGCAGCTAAATTGTAGGTTTGGTTCTAATTTGCTTGTTTTTGAGTAAGTTGGTTTTATTATTGTGTTGCTATAGCAGGTACTACAACAAGGATAGCATATCACRACCATTAAGGRTTGGTGAAAAATCTTGACGCTTAATTTTTGAGTGGAAGCATATTTTGTTGAAGWCGGCAAAATCTAGAGRAGAAAAGAAAAGATCTAGCTAACGATGTCTACTTAAAAGTACCTACTTTGAGTAGGAGTTGACTTCATGTTTGTATGTTGGTAATAACCCATGGATGTTGACTTTTGCACTTCCTACTTTATGCTTTATGTTAGTATAAATAGTGAACTCTTGTTTTATTGTAAAAAAACAAGGAGTCAGTAACTTACTACAAGTTCTAGTCTCTAAACCTTTTGCCTTTTAATTTTAAGCTTGAAAGTTTTTAGTACTTGACTATTGCTACAAATATATTCTTCATTTCTRCACATTTACTTTTTACCCATTTATTTTTAAAAACTTTAACTTTTATGTTATTCAAGCTTCTGTTATTTACATAYTTGCCTTTACCTTCAGCAGTGTTGAGATAAACACCCTAGCTTGGGTGTAGGTGACGGTTGGATGATTAAGCCTCAGTGTTCRTGGATAATTGATTTTGCTATAACAATCTACTCCATTATTCACTCTCGGGTAGGATATTTCACCGGGTAATTCTTGACAAAGTGACGCATGTTGTTTCACCTTGGTGAGTTGGACTTAAATCTAAGACAACATAAATGTTTCAACCAAGAGGGTTATAGATGGCTATATAGAGCTGCAGCAACATTCATATGTTGTTAAACTATATGGAAAGAGGGGTAAGATMTGTACTCGGTCTAGATTTGTACATCTCCATGTATACTGCCAGCATATGGTCTAATCTGAACTTCGAAAAAAGGTCGTTTGAGTCAATAGTGGTTGTAGAAAACTATTGATGTAGCATTATTCATATGATGTTGTAGCAAGGTTCTACCGCACACTACTGCTGAAATTCCTATCAGATCTTGCACCCATGCTTTTCTTTCCAGTATTTGATACATTTCAGTAGTGTTAAACAAACTCAAAGTTATTTGCTTTCTGAAGCTCCATTGCTTCCACAAAATCTCTTGAAATCTTACTTTAAAGTTGACTTTTTGCAACTCTTTGCTTTTAAATCCCTATGGAACGATATCTGATATTATTTACCATTATTACTTTCATTGGACGACACTAATCAGCCATGTATACTTGCACGATTTTCTAGTTGCTATAGCCTTTTGGGGTTATATTCATACCACACCAATGCTCAAAAAGTATTAACCACATTTAAACCAATATTCAGATTCGCAATACCTTATGCAGATCGATTTGAAGTCGGTGAGTGAATGGATGGAAAGTGTGGTCATGTCGATTTGAAGCAGGACCTGTGGATATGGATAGAAGGTGTGATCAGATCAATCGATTTAAAGTAGAGAGTGACGCAGTTCACTAGAAACCTGCAAATGGATAGAAGGTGTGGTGAAAATACAAAATTGAAAATTCAAACAAAAAGAGCGGTAAAACAGGAACAAACAAAGAGTGAATTAGCCATATTAGGAACGTGAAAAATGGATTTCAACATGTTGAATTTCCATCGTTGGGTTAATAGGATTTTTCAGGGATTGGTGTCGGACGATTTGAATCCTTGAAATTTTGAATCGATGACCATATATGTTAGAAGATGATGAAACATAAATATCAAGTAAAATTACAAACACATGTACTGATTTATAGGTAAATAGCAACCTACCGAATGGAACTCACTCCAAGGTATACCGATGTTTTGGATTGGCATCTTTCTGAATAGCAGCTTGCATAGCCGAGGATGACTATCTTTATGATTCTAAACAGGAAGCCTAAATTTGTGATGACAAGAGGTACCTCTTGAGCCTTACAATGTGGAGGACCTTTTAAATAAATATGGAGAAAAAAAACCATGTAAATTTCGTCATCCCAACAAGGTCCATTTCTAGATTATGTGTGCATAGTATGTGCCATTATGGCCTTACATGGCAATCCAGTTGTGGTGTGTTTCCTTTTCCTAGCCTTCTTTCAGTCTAGTTGTTGTTAAGGTTATCCATTCTAAATCATCACTTGTAAGTTGTGTTCTTCCTATGCAAATAAGCCAATCCTGAGAGAATATGATATGTAAAACTTTGAACTAGAGATTATGTTATTGATCCACCACGTTCTCAAACGTATTTTACTTATGGACCCAGTTGCTCTTTTTCCATTTCCCCTTCTTCCCTCTAAAACAAGAGTTTGTGGATCACTTCCACACATCATACAAAATGCTTAATCTATAAGAAAAAAATTGAAGTCAGTTTTATTACCGACTTAATTAAGATAAATAGCAAAAGATTCTCAACAACAGATGTACCACACTCAATACCTTGTCATTGCTTTGTTTTATCAATGACCCATACTCACATCATATAATCATACATTGAAGAGAACGAAAATACACAAACTCAAAGAAGCAACTACGCCATTTCTAATAGTGAAGCAATCCTAGATTACCTAAAGGAAAGTTTTGAAGCCACTGAAATAACAAAAGAACTCGAAAATTTTGAAGTTGATGTTTGGTTTTCGGTTTCTAGTTTGATTTACGCATTGGAGATTTAAAAATAAAGTCTAACCTGTACTCGAACCAAATTGAAAACAAAAACTTACTTTCAAATCTGCTTTATAGGGTAATATAAATATGGATAGATGTATGTATATAAAACAAAGTGGCTAATAGTTTTGGTCCTTGTGGATATAGAAAAAGACAAAAAAAAATATTAACTAAATGATTTTTTTATAAACTTTTACTTTTTTAATGATAAAAGTAAAAACAAGGACATTTTTGGTATTTTTCATCACTGAGTTAACAAATCCTGTTAATGAAAAGGACTAACTATAACAAAATAAATACCACAGGGACATAACTTAAAATTTTGTATTCACATGCTCCATCCTACTCTACTGCTAACAACCCGAATTTGACATTTTTCGCAAGGGCAAAATCGTAATTCTGTATCTTAATGCCCGACCGAACACACGCAGCTCTCCGCCTATATCTACGTTTCCCTCCGTCGTTCCTCTCTCTCTAACACACCTACGATCTCTCTCGCCGGCGGCTAGCAGAGATAGGTGGAGGACCATCATCAACGGCTGTCATACCACCGTTTTCGCCGGAATGGACGCAAATTCAGCAGAATTTGAAGCGATTTTGAAGGACATAGAGCGTGCTAATAGCACTGGCACCAGCAACACCAACAACGACGATCAAGGCTGGAAAACGGTGTCGTATAAGAAATCAAGACGTAAAACTACTAATAAGTCTCCCGAAAATTACGCCGATCACGGCTCCGGTGCCGATGACGTTTTCCGTTCGATCGAACAGCAATCGGAGGGGCGTCGACGAAGAGTGATTGAATCTCAGAAGGCTGCCGCCGCTGCCATTGATGCTGCAGTAGCAGACGGTGGTCATGTTCGTGTATCTGGCAACGACGGCGAGGAGGATGGGAGTGATGTGGAGAACTTGGCCGGAGTTGAGAGCGGTCGGGGAGAGGCGAAGAAGAGTAAACTGAAGAAGTTGAAGAAACCTAAAGTTACTGTCGCTGAGGCTGCAGCGAAGATTAATGACTCTGATCTGGCTGTTTTTCTTGCTGACATAACGGTAATAAAGTATTCAATTTTGATCTGATCCAAGTAATTGATTTTGAATTGGATTGTTAATTGAATTTGAAAAAGTGTTTTAATTTTATTTTGATGTTATTTCATCTAGGAATCGTATGAATCACAACCAGATATACGTCTCATGAGGTTCGCTGACTATTTTGGTCGTGCATTTGCTTCTGTGAACGCATCTCAATTCCCATGGATGAAAGCACTCAAGGGGGCTTCTGTGGATAAGATGGTTGATGTAAGAGCTTTATCCTCTTTTTTTTAACAAATTTAAATATCACTTTTCATGGTTAATGGTTATGGCAGGCTAGTTACTTTTGTAATGATTTAGAAGATTCTCCTAATATTCATTGTATTTATATTTTGATGTATTTGCCTTCTTTCCGCTGCATTACCACTTAGCATTTGGATATTTATGGGAAATCCCATATAGAATTTGTTACACTGTATCCAAAACATTACTTTCCAGAGGGAATATTTTGTTGATGATTATGGAATTCCTTTTACAGACCGATTTGGTTGCCTTCTATGCAAATCCCTCTTATCACGTATATCTGAAGAGGACTGATTTAGTTGGTTTTTATGCAGATCCCTCTATCACACATATCTGAAGATGTTTACAGGACATCTGCAGACTGGCTTAACCACCAACCTGTTGAAGCACTGGGGTCCTTTGTGTTGTGGTCCTTAGATGGCATAATTGCTGACATGGCTCTCCATCAAGGAGCTATCAAGGGTTCAAAGAAGGTGGTTCAGCAGGCACCTTCAAAATCCCAGGTAATGGTCTATAAATAACTGTATACTTGAGTTCATCTTTTCTTCAAGCTTGTAGAGTTGGTTGGAAGTATGGACCATGACATGTTCAATACGCAGTTGAGGATGATGGTAATGAATGGATTGATTTCAGTGTAGATGATCCCAAACTAGTAAATTGTTTAGTGATATTTTGTGAAAAAAGACCACCATTGGCATCCTATCCCCCCCCCCCCCCCCCC